GAGAATAAAACCATGCTTCTCTCCACTCCTTTCCTTTTTAAAGCGTCTTGTCCCCCACCCAACAGACCCCCCCAGACGGCCTGGGGGTGGCTGGGGAATTCTGGGAGTTGAAGTCCAAGCCTCTTAAAGCGGACAAGGTTGAGAAACACTGCTGTAGATCCTACATTTCTAGGGTGAAACTGAAAACTGCCTGACCAGTTCTGGGCTCCCATGTTCTTGAAAATAATGATTTCTTGAAAAGATTGCGAGTTTAACACCCATCTTTCTGATGCTGGAAAAAGTCACGCATATACATTTTTTGCAGCTTTTCACTGTAATTTTTGTTGCGGACGCCCCCCCCCGCCCCATTTGTCCTCCTTTCCAATTGTCCCTGTCCTCCTTTGCCTATTCGGACATCTGGTAACCCTAGTTGGAGCGGAGGCAAAATGTGCACAGGAGGCCCTAGATGAGGTTTTCAAAGCAAGGGAGAAAAGCGTTAACTCCCCCCCCCCCCCGAAAGTCATGGCTCTGCCCACTGCAGGCTTTGCTGCTGCTGCCCTCCGCTGCTGGACCCCCAAAGCTTTCCTGCTGCTGTTGCAGAAGCCTGCGGGCCTGGAAGTCCAAGGGCAGTTTTGGGGAAATGTCAGAAGTGCCCAAGCAGGGGGCTGTTGAAACACCCACCACCCACATAAACATCAGGCCACCACAAGGACTTTCTTGACTTGCACCCCGCAAGCTGCAGAAAATGCTTTAATTCTCCCCAGGTGGTATGGAAATCTGCTGGAAATCCAGAGACTTGATTATCTGAAATTCCACTTGTTCCAGCAAATTAAAGTCACAATGTGGCCAAGTAAGAGAAACGAATGAGTAAATTCTGCGGGCTCCAATCTCTGTGCCAAAATCCAGCACTTTGCTTAAATCCAGGAATTAAACCAGTTGAATCCATTTGGATAAGGGACTACTAAGTAACGCTCCTGTTGCATCAGAGGCTGAGGGGACCACAGAGAAACAACCATTTAGCGTTAAATTGGCCACATTGATTTAAGCATCCTATCTCCTAAAACCAGCCTTCAAAAGTGATTTTTCTTCCTTGTTCACTTGGAAACCTGGTAGCAGTTCTTTGGCTGATCTTGGGGAAAAAAAGAGAAGCAGGGGTTGGCCTCGGTAGTACATGGATGGGAAATCCCAGGTTCTAGGGCAGTGTTTCTCAACCCTGGCCACATTAAGATACGTGGACTTCAACTCCCAGAATTCCC